ATCTAATTTCATTTGCAATATAACTTAGAGCTATTTTAAAAGGTCCTACTGACCTATTCCTGATTAACAAAAAATATTCTATGTAAACAAGTCTAAAACCCATCAAAATCAAACAATCTGAAATAGAAAAGATTACAGTATTTTACATAGGATTTGAGGTAAATATTACTTCTCAAAAATACACAATATCATGTATAATGCTTGTGAAGCAGTGAAACCAAAGTCCTCCACCAAACAAACCTTATAAAATGACTTTGGTTATTTACTACTTTGAAGATATAATTTACAATTTCTGTCTTTTTCCAAGGGAATATGCCTCTATCCTAAGCCCTGCTATCTAATCTTCAGGTGTGAGGGAAAAGGCAGTGATCTGGCAGGTGGTTAAGAAACTCTTCCTTATCACAAAAACACAGCAGGCATTGATGGTTCAGCGGTAGAACGCTCACCTTTCATGTGGGCGACCTGGGTTCGATGCCCTGCCAATACACCTCATGAATGTCCATCACCTGTCTTTGTTATAGGCTAGCATGTTGCACACTGAACAGGTTTCAGCAGAGCTTCCAGACTAAGACAAACTAGGGAGAAAGACTTGATGACCTCCTTCCGAAAATCCAATGAAAACTCTGTGGATCGCAATTCTTAAACCCATCAAAGGGTTGGTGCAGGGCAATTTCATTCCATTGTGCATGGCATTGCCATGAGTTGAGGGGCTGACAAGAGGGCAGACAACAACAACAACGAAGACATGGGTCTTTACAGGGGATCGGTCCACGACCTGGGTATATTTACTTTAAAATACTATGAATAGGAACTCAGGAATAAGGCTTAGAGAGCAGGACTTCTGGATATGCCTTGGTCTATGTGTGTGCAATTAGATAAACACATATACCCCAATACTCCTACAAACACAAACATTACCTTTATTGTTAAAACTGTCATAGGTAAGGTATAAAATGAAGATTTATGCAGAATAGTTAAAATCTTACACGCAGAGATGAATTAATTCTACTAATGGAGAAAATCCTAATAGATCTGTTCCCCTTTACATCTCAAGCATAAGTTCTTTGAGTTGACTAGAATTTTTATAAAAAAAAAGATGCCTTTCAGAACGAATGCTATATTCCCTCCTAATATAACAGCAATTACAGCAAAGCTGAACTAGGTTCAGATTTCTCTGTCTAAATTATAGTTAGAGTCATTCATGTTTATTTGTAGTCTTAAAAATCAAGGTTAAATTCTATTGCTATTTAAATGATCTGTTTAGATTGTCTGTAAGAGGACAAATATTAATTAAGGATACATTAGGGACCATACTCTTGAACTTTCAGTATGTGGATATTTTATCCAAGTGATAAAAATTATACTTTTTATGAGAACGTAATATGTAGTGTACAAAATACTGTCAAAAAAAAATCAATGCACTGCAGATTTAAGTATGATAAACTTCTTTAAAATGCCTTCTCTTTTCACCAACCTTAAGAAAAAAAGTACCACCCACATTGACCTTAGAAAATACAGGAGTCATGATTTATATTTAGCTGCATTATAAAAATGCATCCCAAAAATATACGCTTAAGGTAAGAGAAAGGTCAAAGGAATTAAACTCACATTGAGCATTTCACTTCTGCCAGGCACTGGTATATACTAGTATATACTAGTGTGTATACGTTGCATTTCCATATTGAACATTTATTTAGTGTTTACTGGATATAGGAGAAAAAGATAGTTCCACATGGCAATTTCTATTTCTACCTTTTTAAACAATATACAGTAAAACCAGCGAAATCCAGAACCTGTGTAAGGCATAAACCTGTCAGAGAAGGAAAACTCAGATACAGTATTTTCTACTAAAATGAGCAATTGAAAAGTGGTAAGACTGTACCCTGTCAGAGGTAGAAAATTTTCAGACCTGGAAAAACAAGGCGGTCCTTTTCCAGCTCTCACAGCTTTCAATATATTTAACTAATTAATCCCATCTTGCTTCTTTGCTAAAATAAACATTTCTGGTTGTCAATTCCCCTTTAAATACTGATTTAGCTGCATCCCAAAGATTTGATATGTGATGAATTTTCATTGCTCTTTGATCTCTACTTCCATGTGGATATTTTAATTGACTCAGCGTATCAAATTTCCATATATATGAGGCCTTCAAGGCTGTGTTTTTGTTAGTGGTATCTAAATAGCTTAATGTTCTAAAACATGATAAATTGTAGAAATATCCCATATGTGCTTCAAAAAAGGAATTTGCCTTTCTACTGTATGTTATCTTCTTCTGGAAAACCAATATTTGAAAATTCTCATTTTGCGCTTCATGTTTTTTAATGTTTCTTTTTATTTTAAATCTATTGGTTTTCCTGGCCATATTGTACGTAATACTATCAGATCAAATTTTAGATCTAATTTCTCTTCCCCTGTGTCTTCTCTGCCGTTTAACCTGTCAAGTAAATTTTATGCCATTTGCTATGGTTTTTAATTCTAGAAATCCTGTGCTTTGTGTTTCTGCATGTGTGCATGCATTTAATCTTTTAATCTGCCTGAAGATTTCTGATCGCCTTTAATTTTTTAATCATTTGTTTTATACATTTTTATTTTTTAAACACATTAAGTATACTCGTTTCTTGCCCTGATAATTGCAGTTTCTCTATCCTGTCAGGTTTCAACTTTTCTGGCTCTCATTCATGGTGTCTGGTTTCCACATAGATTTCGTGATTTTTCTGACTGTTAGCTCCTGCTTCAAGAAATAATACCAGAAGGAAATATCTGAGGACTGATGCGAAAGTCCATGACTCCTGGGAAGATTTGGGTTAGTTTCAGCCAGATGTCTGGAACTACCAACTCACAACTCCGTTAACCAACGTTCTAGACTTGGGGCTTTTTATATGCCACACAGGCAGCGAGAATACTGGCCCCGAATTCATGTTGCGATCGCTTTCTGCTTACAGATCCACATGGGTAACTTCCCGTCTACCTAGATTAAGAACAAATCAGGCAAGAATCCCTGACACCTTCCTCTCCAGTTGTTCTTGAGGACTGCGTATTTTATGGGTCTAAGCTTTCTGGAGGATTCTGGGATCTCACTTTGCAAACTGAAGAGACTCTAAACTCTGTTCCCTGTCTCTTGGGTATGGGCTCCTCAGACTAAAACTGTAGGCAAAAGGAGTCCACAGCTGCCCACAGGGCACCAGCTGGCTCCAGCTTATACAACGACCACTCTGAAGTCCTGCTTACTCTTAATTTTTAGCATATGACATTTTCCTTAATATACTTAAAGCACAGCCATTCTTTTAAAAATACATGTTTTATACTCTAATTCAGAATTTTTATATGATGTGTACTGAAAGAGTTTTTAAGGTTATGTAGTTCACAATACTGACAAAAACAGTCGCAACATTATTTAATTTATTTTAAATTATATCTATTTAAATCTAAGATAAGTCAAAGATTCAACAAGCATAGGGCATGATTTCAACCCCACCCAACCATGTCCCCCTTGACTGATTTGAAGCTAAATCCTTAAGAAAAGCAGAATTATCTATTCTGCTTTGACTGAACCCTGACAACTACCACCAAGGTATAGGAAGGACAGTCAGACTGACAATGATAGTAAAGATGATACAGAAAACACAATTTGACGCATACCAGTGTACTTAAGGATGGATGGCTGATAGATGGAGAGACACATACATACACATACATATATATGTGTATAAATTTATATGTGCGTAAATTTCACTTTGATGACTGTGGCTCCTCTACGTAAGCCATGGTGTCTTCAGTCACTTCTTATGCATGCAAATGTTGGAAAAGAAACACAGAAGAATTGATGTATTCAAACAGAGGTGTTGGTGAAGAATACTGAATGTGCCGTGGACTGCCAAAAGAATGAACAGATATTGAGAGACATACAAGTCATTATTTTTCTTCAGGATTCCTTTGCCTTTTTATGCGCAATAGCTTTGCATTCACACAAGTCTGGCCATGGCTCCTGGCTCTAGTTTGATGGAGAATGATTATTTCACTGCTGCCTACTACTCTCCTGGTATCTTTGCAAAAATCTAGCAGATTGGAGAGAGTGCACATCTCATGATTCCTGTTCAAACATACTACCTGTTGCTTTTGACAGACTTTGTTACTTAGCAGAGACATTAACTGCCAGCTGGCTGTGACAGTTTGTGAACTAACATTGGCATTTGTTTTGGCATTGTAACAGTATTCACAGCTCAGGAAATACATACAATTAGATAATGAGGGACCTGAAAATTTTTGGAGGTACAAATTACAACAATATACAAATTAGAAACAAGGTTACATATTCTTCGCAACCCTAAGAATAAAATTATTTTAAAAATGGCTTCGGACCTTGGGTCTCTTTCAAGAAATAACCTGTTCAGTACTAAACATATGGCATGTTTGCAAACAGAAAAGGGATTATGGAGAACATACAGAGGAGGTTAATTCAGTCTTATAGCTAGTCATCCATTCCACATGTTCTAACCATCTACAATGTCAGAGGAAACCCTCATGGCATAGTGGTTAAGAGCTACAGCTGCTAACCAAAAGGTCGGCAGTTCAAATCCACCAGGCACTCCTTGGAAACTCTATGGGGCAGTTCTGCTCTGTCCTGTAGGGTTGCTACGGGTCAGAATCGACTCCATGGCAATGGGTACAATGTCAGAACACTGTGAAAGAAAGGTAGAAAGAGATAAAGCAAAAATGCAATTTTTGGATGAAATGGAGTATAAATGTAAACTATCACAGGATAAGGAAAGTGATCGACATTATCTCTTTGTGACCTTTCTTTCCTAGGCTCTCCTTTACCAACCATGAGTATCACATTGTGAGGAGTGTCCACTGCAGGCCCCAGCATAGTCAGCCACTGTGATTACGTGTCCAGGAGAGGGACAACAGAAGGCAGTGACACAGGTGGAAAGCATGTGCACACACAGAGTGTGTTGTCTGTCTGTCTGTGCATGTACACGTGAGTCTGAGGAGGTACTTACTGCTCCAGTCCCAAGGCAGTTCGGAGACTGGCATTCGCCACTCATCTGGTTTGGGATTAAGACATCTTCCCAGCAAGATGGACCCTTTGAGGAAAAAAGAAAGAAAGAAAGAAAGTAAACATATTGTTGGTGCACAAATTATAATAGATATATTATTCCCTAATGATCCTGAGAAGCAAGGATGGCAAGACTACGTCTCACATACTTTGGACATGTTATCAGGAGGGCCCAGTCCCTGGAGAAGGACATCATGCTTGGTAAAGTAGAGGGCCAGCAAAAAAGAGGACGACCCTTAATGAGATGGATTGACACAGTGGCTGCAACAATGGGCTCAAGTATAACAACAATGGTGAGGATGGTGCAGGACCAGGCAGTGTTTTGTTCTGTTCCATAGGGTCGCTATGGGTTGGAACCGACTTGACGGCACCTAACACCAATAATGACAATGCATTTTCTATAGAGACTAGTTAAACCAGACCGCAAAGGGATCTGGAATTTGAATTCACAGATAATTTGATCAAAAGGCACAGCTTAAACAGAAGGTGAGTGTGCAGAAGAGGCAGCATGGCACTTGAGACACTGCTGTCCTCACACAGCCCTGCCTACAGGGTGGCCCCTTGGCTGCCATCTGGGAACTTGGATTTCAGAAGTGGTCCCAGCATTTCCTAGCTGATAATGTGGTTTGCAGAGTCTAGACTGTTTACACGAGCACTGTGGTTCATGCTGAACACCTGCTTTCCTTCTGAGAACCTGGAATTTGGATATATTCTGGGCAGACGATGCTTAGGTGACCAGCCCCCCGTAAAAACTCTGAGCAGTGACTCTCTAACGACCTTCCCTGGTAGACCACACTTCACATGTGTTGTCACAACTCACTGCTTGAGGAATTAAGCTTGCCCTGTGTGACTCTACTGGGCGAGGACTCTTAAAAACTTGTCCCTAGTTTTCTCCAAACGTCTCTGCCCCATGTCCTTTTCTCTTTAATGGTTTTGCTTTCTATCTATTCACTGCAATGAATCTTAGCGTGAGTATGACTATATTCCAAGTCCTGTGGATCTTTCTAGTGAAATACGGAGGCTGGCGGTGGGGAGTGATCCTGGGGATACCTACACAGTTACATCTGGCTAATTATCAAGGGGATGTCCTCCCAGCTACACGGCACGGTGAGGGCTCATGAGTAAGATCCCATGGGTTATGGAGGATAAGAAGGTGCATTTTCTTTGCTCTTCTAAGTGCAGAATTCACATTTGCAATCTCACAGTAGTCATAACAGTTTAAACGTCTATCTGGTTTTCAACTGGAGAATCACTCTATGACAACGACAGAAGATTATAATGATGGCATGCAACCAAATACATATGTTATTCAGCTTGGACAATAGAGAAGTAAACATACAAATGTTAAGAACTGGAAGGCAAATGCCCAGCTGGGGAGAGAAGGGAAGCAGAGGAACGGAGGAGATCTTACAGGCTATTGCTTTCCATTATAAGGTCTTCAGTGTATTTGATTTTTAACCATGTGCATACAATCATTCAATAAAAATTAGGAATTTATTGAAATAAACACGAAGTCAAGAAATGATCCAGCACCCTGTCTGTCAGTTTGTTGTACTGTGGTGGCTTGCAAGTTGCTGTAATGTTGGAAGTTAAGTCACTGGTATTTCAGATACCTACAGGGTCACCCAGGGTTTCAGAAGAGCTTACAGACAAACACAGACAAGGAAGAGACCTGGTGATCTACTTCTGAAAATTAGCCAGTGAAAATCCTAGTGGCTGCAACAATGGACTCAAGCATACCAGCGATCATGCAGCGGTGCAGGACCAGGCGATGCTTCCTTCTGATGAGCATGAGGTCACCATGAGTCAGAGCTGACTTGATGGTAACTAACAACAACAAAGGAATGATACTGAAAACCGCAATCACAGTCGTCAGCCTCGTTTATTCTAGCTTAAAGTGAGAAATTCAACGGGAACAAATATGGTTAGCACGTAGTCTTCTACATGATACCTCAACCCTTTTATGAGTATCCAAGGGGGTAAAGCATCGGTGAAAAAGAGGAAGACCTCAATGAGATGCATTGACACAGTGGGTGAAGCCATGGGCTCAGACATAACAACAATTGTGCAGGACCGGGCAGTGCTTTGTTCTGTTGTGCGTGGGGTTGCTATGAGTTGGAACTGACTCAACTGCACCTCACACAACAAGAGGGTATGTATTTTTATGTGTTTATTTGTTTGTTTTTAAATTTCTGCTTCTCTGTAGTTAGTGCTTTGTTCTACTCTTATACATATTATAAATTATGTTTCTCTCCTTTTTAGAGAACTGGAAAAAGAATTTAGACTCAACCTTTGGCTCACATCCAGCACTTTATGTAGGTTATAATAAATACTTGGTTTACTAATATCACCCCTGGCTTCAGATAATTCTCCTTTGTTTATTGTTCTTTGACCCATTTTCTCTAATTTTTTTTTTTTATGATTGCTTTGTATTCTAAATGTATCCCTACAAGCTTGTCAAACAAGTCTTAATTGAGGCAGGGTATAATTAAATAATTATGAAGTTCTTGTGGCCTTTTCTCCTCTAATTTTCCAAAACCAGCGATGTTCAAGCAACAGCAGCTTCTCACACGCCCTCTGTCGCGGGCCAGTTAGTAATCTGTCCTCATGGGATACACTGGTCTTTGGCCCGTTGACTGTGGTAAGTAAGTAGTGGCTGACAAATGATAACTGGCAGAGATTTACAATGAACTTCAGCACACTGAGAGGCTCTGAAACATGCCTGTTTTAAAAGAAATCCATTTAACTGCAGTTAACCACTAAATAAATAAGACGGCATTTCTTTTCTTCTCTGGCAGCACTGAGCAGATTCTCTGGACGCTAGTTCAGGAGCACCAGCCTGCTTACAGCACAGGCAGTGGTAAACATGAACCTGACAGCGGTCACAGCCTACAGAAGGGGCCATAATCCCCAAACACAGAAATTAAGGTCCCCAGTGTAAGAGCTCAGCTGCTAACCGAAAGGTCGGCAGTTCAATCCCACCAGCCGCTCCTTGGAAACCCCATGGAGCAGTTCTACTCTGTTCTATAGGGTCGCTTTGAGTCAGAATTGACTTGAGGGCAACAGGTTTGGTTTTTTTGCTTATTATTATTTTTTTTTTTTTCACATTTCCCTGCTCAACCTCCAAGTCTAGGAGTAAATGAAACTTTCTGTGGATTTATCACAGATGTTTATTTTTCACATCTTGATTTTTTAGAATCCACAACAGTGACTACCACATTTACATGACAATTCCTGTAATGGCCATATAAGGTACTACTTTATCTGACAAATCATTGGGTTGTACAGGAAACTGTGGAAAACTCATTCTCAATTTTCTTCTTATTCGCAGACCATAACACAATGACATCATTAATAAAATAACAGAATTCCTTTGGGTGTGGAAATGCAACATCCAGTACTACCAGGGCTAATCTACCTGTGCTATTTATATTATTGGAAGTCCCTGGGTGGCGCAAATGTTTGAGTGCTCAACTACTATCGAAAAGGTTGGAGGTTCGAGCCCACCCAGAGACGCCTCTGACGACAGGTCTGGTGAGCTGCTTCTGAAAGACGACAACTTTGAAAATCCTTGGGAGCAGTTCTACGCTGCACGCATGAGGTGGCCATGACTAAAGGCAACAGCACTTACATGACTAGTATGTAATGCTACTGCTGTTTCTGTCCTGGAAGTAGGAACAAATGGCCCAGTGAATCTGTGTCATTAAAAAGCTGACTTAATTTTGCTCCTTTATGTTTTAGAAACTATAAAATTTTAATTGCCTAATCATTGCACAGTACTTCAACAGTTGCATGGTTAAAGCATTTATAATTAATAGTCTTCAGATAGAATACGAAATGTCTTCAGGCTACAAGTTTAAGAAGGCCTACATATCACAAGGTGGCAGAAGGCAGCTGTGGATTAGACAGTATCAAGAGTAACGAAAACAACCAAAAATGTATTTCATCTCTCAAATCTAGGGAATTACAGAAAAATGACTGAAAAAAAAAGGTCAGATAACACCATGTGGAATCAATGTGTTAATAATTACTTTGGCTGCTTTTTAGAGAACTTTCCCCTTTTTTGCCCAGTAATGTTTACAATCATGGAAAATACATAAATTACTTTAGCATTTATAGCAGGGGCGAGCAAACTATGGACTGTTGGCCAAATCTAGCCCTATGCTGATTTCTGTACAACCCATGAGCTAAGAAAGGTTTTTGCACTGTTTAATGGTTGGAAAGCTAAAAAGAAGAATACTGAATAACACAGGAAAATTATATGAAATTCACATTTCCTTGTTTACAAATAAAGTTTTATTGGAAAACAGCCACACTCATTAATTTACATATATTTTTCTTTAATTGTACTTCAGGTGAAGCCTTACAGAACAAATAGTTTCTCATGAAACGGAAGTATACATGTTGTTTTATAACATTGGTTAACAACCCCACAACATATCAACCCTCTAACTTCTCAACCTTTTTTTTTTTTGGTGAAAACACACATAGCCAAAGATACACCATTTCAAAAATTTCTACATGCACAGTTCAGTGACATCGACTATGCTCTCCCAATTGTGCTGTTATTCTCACTTAAGATGAAGGCTTACAGAACAAAATAGTTTCTCATTTAAAAGTTACTACAAATGTTGCCCTATGACAATGGTTAACAATCTCACAACACATCAACAATACCCTTACTCAGCCTTGGGTTCCCTATCACCAGCTTCCTTCTCCCCTTCTGCTTTCTGGCCCTTGTCACTGGACTCCTGTACCTCGTTAGTCTCATTTGGTTTTACGGGGCTGTCCACTCCCAGGCTGAACAGTGTCATTTACATATTATTAAGGTTGTTATTGCAACACGAGGATACAGTTGAGTCACTGTGACAGAGATCCTACGGCCAGTAAAGTGTAAAATATGTACTGTCTGATTCTTGACAGAAATAGCTAGCCACCCCTGATGTACAGGAAATAATTTTTCAAAATGTACATTTAAAATAATTTTTTTATTTTAATTTTGTGGCAGCATTTTGATAACAGTATAAC